TATACACTGAACTGAATTGAACTGAATGAGTTAACAACATAGAGACCAGATAATTTGACAGATCTTATCAAGACACAATCATTTGGACCTCAGACCTCAGTAAAAACACATCTGATCTCTGCTGATTAATACGGTTTGTTAGAAGGAGGAGGATCATCAGAACCTCATCACCACTTAGCTAACTGGTATTTCAGAATAAAACAACACTAACAAAACCATTAAAGGCTCATTTTTCAAATGTAAACACCATCTTTACCTTCTGGGTGTTTCTCTGAGTGCCACTTCTCAGAGAAACAGAGTTCAGTCCTGCAGGACTGATAAGCTAACGGCCAGTCTTCAAATTTAACAGCAGTTTGTGAAAAAAATGACTTTATAAACTTCATCATTACGACCGAATCTGCTTCATTTAGCTGTGGTCACACTAGCTGTTAGCCTATCAGTTTTGCCAAGTTAGCCTATAATGTAAATATAGTCTGGCCACGACCAGAGACAGCTCAGTCGTAGTCTACGGATGTCTTTCAAACATCCCCTGCTGCAGCAGCCCTAGGACCAATCAGAGGAATGAACAGTGCGATGCTTTCATAGCAACAGAAAAGCTTCCAAAGACGACGGACATCAAGGTATGTAAGAAAGACGTAAGAGTGGCATCCCGGGGCTACTGCAGCCCATTTCTACCTGACCAACCAGTCACCCTCTCACTGCTGTTGGGGGGTCACCAGTTACGGATCAGCACCAGAAGATTCTAGATAACAAGCGAAGACGAGTCAGACACAGTAGGGTCAGATCTGGTGTTAGAACTCTTGGCTGTTTTATGGTAGGGAGCACTTACTACACGTATTACGGTAACGTAACTCTGGCATCAGAGGAAGCGTGGTTATTTGCCGTCTTGCTGTTATAGTTCTGAACAACCGGATGAAGGAAGTAAAACTAGATTCAGCAGCAGTTCAGGAGGTAGAGCGGGTCGTCCAGTAATCGGGGGTCTTTAGCCAGCTTTGATCACTGGACCTAAGGGACCTGCTGGGAGTCTGATTCAATTCAATTCAACTTTATTTATAAAGCGCCAAATCACAACAAGACTCGTCTCAAGGCACATCGCATAATAAACATTCCAACACAGGTCGGGTCATTAAGCCAATCAGAAAAAAAAATGTTTCCTACATAAGGAACCCAGCAGGTCGCATCGAGTCACTGACTAGTGTCAGAGTCTTTACAGCAATCCTCATACTAAGCAAGCCCACACACCCACATCACCCCGCTTCTCCTCCAGCTTCACTGGCTGCCAGTCAACTTCAGGGTTCATCTCAAGATCCTGGTTCTGGTCTATAGGGCCTTACATGGACAAGCACCATCTTACATTGGTGATCTTCTTAGTCCCTACACCCCCAGCAGGTCCCTGAGGTCCAGTGATCAAAGCCTACTGGTTGTGCAGCACCAGGCTAAAGGTCAAAGGTGACAGATCATCTGCTGCTGTGGCCCCCAGACTCTGGACCTCTCTCCCCCTGAGCCTGAGATCAGTGGACTCAGTGGTCTCCTTTAAAAAGCAGCTGAAGACTCACTTGTTCAAGCTGGCTTTTGTATGACCTTCTTCACCTCTCTCTCTTTATTCTGCTCTCCCCACCTATTCCACCTTCCTCAGGATCCACTGGTTTCCCTCTTTCCTGTTCACTCTCTCTCTTTCTTAACATTTTTAATCACAATTGCCTATTTTTGCTCATTTTCAATTAATCAATCAATTAATGCTTTATTTATAAAGCACCTTCTGCAACCTTGTCAGGAAGCCCAAGGTGCTATTTTAAATACATTTTTAAACATTTTCTAAATGCTTTTTTACAATTTTTATATTTTTTGTTTTTGTGAAGCGCCTCGTGATTTTTATCTTGAGAGGCGCTATAGAAATTATATTTTCTTCTTCTTCTTCAAGCATGCAGCGACAGTGGAGAGGAAAACTCCCTTTTAACAGGAAGAAACCTCCAGAGAATCCTGGCTCAGTATAAGCAGCCATCCACCATCACACACACACACACACACACACACACACACGCACGCACGCACGCACGCACGCACGCACGCACACACACACACACACACGCACGCACGCACGCACGCACACACACACACACACACACACACACACGCACGCACGCACGCACACACACACACACACACACACACACACACACACAATCTGTGTCCCTCTAAGCAGGACACCTAAATATAAAAGAGCCCCCCAGACTCCACCCTAGCAGCGAGCATGAGCTCCTGAGAAGGCGGGTCTCCTCGTGAACCCGTTAGCTTTAGAGTGTTTCTATCGCTCCAGCGATGCAGCTGCTTCAGGTTTACGTCACGCATCCTAATGAAATGTGATCCATCTAAAACATTCTGGAGATGTTTGAATAGTTTTTATTTCATTATGTAGCGACGGTGGCACAGGAGCTAAGTCCTCGCCCCATAATCAGAAAGTTGCAGGTTTGAGTCTGTCTGTCACTGACGTTGTGTCCTTGAGCAAGACACTTAACCACCCTGCCTGCTGGTGGTCGTCGAAGGGACCGGTGGTGCCTTCGCTAAGCAGCCTCGTCTCTGTCAGTGCAGCTGTGGCTACGATGTAGCTCATCACCACCAGCGTGTGGATGGATGAATGACTGATTATGTTGCAAAGCGCCTTGGGGGGTTCTAGAAGTGTAGAAGGCTCTGTTTCAAATACAGACCATTTACCATTTATTATTATTAGTAAAACTAACCTTACATTAACTAGACTAGTCCTCGGAGCTCATCACACAGTTTCTGACTAGCATCAACGTAGAGACTCAGATCACCAATGTAAGATGGTGCTTGTCCATGTAAGGCCCTATAGACCAGAACCAGGATCTTGAAATGAACCCTGAAGTTGACTGGCAGCCAGTGAAGCTGGAGGAGAAGCGGGGTGATGTGGGTGTGTTTGGAGGACTTGGTCAGAAGCCGAGCACAGGCGTTCTGAACCACCTGTAGACGGTTCAGGGAGGTTCTGCTCAGACACGTGAAAAGAGAGTTACAGTAGTCTAAGCGTGAGGAGATGAAGGTGTGGAGAACTGTCTCAAGTTCAGAGCGGGACAGAATGGGACTCAGCTTAGCAACGTTCCTGAGATGGAAGAAGGAAGAGCCAACAAGAGAACTGACATGAGAATCCAGGGTGAGAGCTGGGTCAAAGGTCACACCAAGATTCCTGATGGAGGGTTTGGTGTGGGAAGCAAGCTGACCAAACAGGGTATTAGCCCAAAGCTGGGAAGGGGGGTGTCCCACAGGAAAGAGTCTCCGTCCCCCATCAGGGTCACACCAGAACCAAGTCCTGTTGCTGACGACCTGTATGACTGGCCTTTACTAGGACCAGCCGTTAAAGACCTCAGCACAACTACTGAAACTTGGAGTGAGCTTAGCCGTAGGGTTCATGGTGAAGCCGGTGCGACATCTTCAGTTGTCTCGCCTGCAGCAGCGACTCTGCAGCTGTAACTATTCATCACGTCTTCCTCGTTCTTCACGGCCGTGATGTTCTCGGATGAAAACACCCGCCTCTTTAGCTCCCGGTCAGCTGATGACGGCTTCAACACACCGCGCTGCTGAATCGGTAACGAAAACGGCGTTACGATAAACGAAGACGGTACTTAATTAGATTACTTGTTACTTTAATGTTGAGAAGCGCTACATGACGATCCTTCCTCTGGCTCTTCCTTCCTGATGCCTG